GCTCTACGTCCCCACATAAGGTTATTTAGATTCAAACGAGGACGAGTAACGCTACAGCGGGTATATTGGGATAAATTCTGGAAGCGAGAGCTCTACCAGTCGTTTATGCTAATAATATCAGGGAGTCTTGTGGCTGCTCTTAGCCCGAATGCAGCTTAATTTGCAGCTGAAAAAGCTGTAAAAGCTTATGTGAGTGTGTAAAACCGGCGGTAGAGGAGTTATTCGTTGAAAGCTTTCAACTTTTAAAGCGCTTACCCCCAACTAGAATGCATTTAAATTAATGGAGTTCAAATTTACTTTGTTCTGAGGGTAAGCTTTTATATATGCTCGTAAAAAGCACTCATTTATTCTTCTCTGTAATTTTATATACCAAAATTATCAAATATCCCGTAACGCATTTTTTAAGTGACGTCCCATTTTTCATGTTTTTTGGGTTTAAAAATGGTTTAGCCTAATTTATAAAATCTTTATGTAATAAGATTAGACTCAAAATTATCTGTGATATAAATACTAGATAAAAAAATACAAATGCCCCAATGTAAACTTATAACACCACTTCTAAAATCTATATCATTGTCTCTCTACGTTAACAGCCAAAATACCAATAAAGTTGTTCGCTCAGCATCTCAGGTTTTAGTTATTGCTCAGATTCGATGGAACTTTCAAGTATTTCCAAGAAAGCTGAATAATCTTTGCTATTTTTTCGGTCTCAAATAGTTTGTTCAATATCAATATGAATTATTATATTCAAAGGTTCTGAGATCATACAACTTTTGTCATCACCTAACCAGGGGCATATTTACCCTAGGGCCTCCTAACCTTGAACCAAATAATTTATTTCAAAATATGGATATCTCAGCACTCCTATTACAATTCTATTCTTTATTTTCTACTCGTAGTGGGGAGAATGGCGTCAAGTAGGTTGAATCTGCCCTTTCCAGGCGTCATCGTCATCAGTTCATAAAGGAGTATGTACAGCACAAGTAATAAATTCTCTGAGAAAAAAGTTAGTTACGAACATGTACAACAGAAAAATTAAATGGCTTAGGTCAGTCACAGAGGCCCATACAGTTAGTCCACATATATTATTTCCCTGCCCTATCCGTAGTTCCGCCAATCTAGCAACGTCATCCCTCCCGCAGACCACATAAAGGCCCATTGAACTCAGAAAGCAGAAGCAGAAACCCATACCGACAGCGTTCCTGAATCATTCTAAGTTTTGAGGGAAAATGTACGGAGAAATCTATGATGTGTGAATTACAATAGGTGCGTAGAATTACCTCAGCCCAAGCAATAATTTTTAACTTCTACAATTTTTTTCTGAAAATGATCAGGAGCTTCTAAGATGCCAGAAAAAGGAGTTTGTGCGTTTTAATTTTTTCTTGTTTATGCACCTAGCTGCGTCGTTACTGGACAAAAACTTGAAAGGTTTTTTATCCTTGGCATAGTAGGAACCCTTTGTGGAAATTTCTTCAAAATATGAGCGGTACTTCTCAAGTTATAGACGAGTCAAGGATTAAGCGGACGTCCAGGCAGACAGACAGACAGACCGACAGACAGACAGACAAACCGACAGACAGAACAATCGACAGATAGAGCGGCAGACAGACTGACAGACAAGCATACAGACCGACTGAAATGAGTGACACGGTTTGTCGTGATGTACATGACATATACCATCCAAAAAACATAATACTTCATTTTCGAAATTGTTCGCGATTACAAAACTTCCTCACCAGTAGGCGTGAGAGGTAAAATAAAAAATCCTTATACTCAGCAGTTTCTAAAAACGCAAGGAGGTAAAACTCAACTCTCCTACCCTAAAATTCCTTCAAACTTCGAAACCGAAGTTCGTGATTTTTGTTGTTTCAGCGTCTTTAAGATCACTATCAAGTCATACTGTATCAAGAAGAAGTTAAATACAACTTGAAGGGTTGCTTTAGTGGAACACCGGAACTCATTGTCTACCTGAAATACAGTCACGTCTGTTGGATATGACCCTTTTTAAATTTTTTGGAATCAAATTTTGTAACTAAACAGTCAACTTTTGTAAAAAAAAGAGAAGCTAAAGACTTGATTTTGTAAATAGTTGTAATTAAATAATAGTTTGATGAATCCTGGAAAATCTAATCGGCTTTCACGTACATACCAGTGCTGCTTTTGGTTTGAGAGTGATACGCTCCCGAACTGCTTCAGAAACAATGCATGAGAATACAAAGTGCACTGGAACGGTATTGATGCTGAGCACTACTAAGTTACCTAGAGTTACTCACAGTAGCTCAATAGGGTCACTGTAAAGCAGCTCTGTTTGTGCTCGAGTGTACATGCAAAATGACATTTTTTCTTCTGTTCGTCGGTCAGGGCAATCCATGAAACCTTTGCTCTTGGTTAAAATATCGTCATTATACGTAGCTCTGCTAGGTCTGGTTGCCCAGACACCTGACGAAGTCAGACAGAAAGAAAGGAAGAAGAACGAAATGAAGGAAGGGGAAAGAGCAAAGAGGATGAAATGCATCGTTAAAGGGGCATTGTTAACTAGTACCCAGTAATTTTAAATTGATCCAAAAATTAATTTAGGAATTTGTATGTGTGGGAAGAATTGTAATTTTGATTGGACCTAGAATTACGCGACTTAATTTAGTTCACATTTCTTGCGAACTTGATCGACTGTATAGTCTATTAGCTCACGCAATAGAGGGTTGCTGTGTGATTCCGTTTGACTATATCGTAGCTGTGCCTATTGTTTGAGATAGGATACCTGTCACTGTCAACAAGAAGTATTGAAATTCGGACTTAAGAGCTTCTGGGGCTGTTTTTCTTTGAGGAATGATGTATACGCATTGATTTATTACCATATGAATATTCAATTATCAGTGAAACTATCAACTGACAGCTTGGATTTTCTTGACAGAAATTATTTAATAAGGTGTACTAGAGACAAATACATTTGTCTTACTATGACTTTTATTGTAGGAACAAATCGTGTACACTAATTGTGTAGTGCGTAGGACTTCTCAATTAGTTACAGTTTTATTTTTATGAGATGGTATGAGTAGCTGATCTTCATTTCTCATATTGAGTCTAAGTATATCACAGATTTTAGGGAATTTATCTAAATGAATGAACACGTAGTGACCACCTGAGGCTGTACCATATCGACTTTCAATAAATATCATCATATATCATTTAATGAAAAATCAAGAGAAAATTCAAAACGTATCAACTTATTTATCATCGGCAACTTTATTGTATGGATGTGAAAATATGTGTTTGTTATCCTACTCCAGAGAAATCGCAGCCTAGTATATTTTTATTTATGAGAAAAGCGCTCATATGGAAGAAATCCAATTCAAACGTGCAATCCTTCCTTGGGTTTATGGAATTCTTTATCGCATGCATTATTATGTAAATCATGTGGCTTGTCTACCGTATATGTTATTTTCCTTTGCATACCATTTCATCTACTTGACATTCCGAGAGGGACGAACACTTATTAGATTAAAGACTACTCAAAATATACACTATTATTTATTTGCTTATTCACTTTTATATTTATCTATTTATGTATTTATTTATTGCAGCAATAAAGGCATTTCATTTACTGTTGATTGCTACAAAATGAGGCTGAGGACAGTTCGTATTTGGGGGACCCAGCTGTTCAAGTAACAGGCCCATGCGATTACAATGTATGAAACTATTAAAAATACATGAATAACATATAAAAAGCAATATACTGTAATGTACCAATGAATATTTTTTCACCGCATGTTTGAAAGCGGAAATATCATAATTTCTTATAGATCGGGGCAGTTCATTATATAGGCTAAAATCTATGTTGTAACCGAATGATCAACAAAAACGTGCAGTTTTCTCTGTTTGAACAAAGATATAAAGTCACCATGCCGCAAGTTGCGACTTTCTATTGCTGCTGAAAGAAACTTCTTTATACAAGTGTGGTGGAGTGTTGTTTCTTATAATTTTAAGAAATGTTAGCAATTAATGTAGTTCTCGTTTATTTGTCATTAACACCAAAGATGAATCTCCAGCAAGATTTTTGAACATATTCTATACGAGCATTATCAATTTTATCCAAACAAGAGCTATAAAAAGGTAGCTATAATGTCTTAGTACGACAGTATCAAATAGCTTTGCTTCCAAGTTTTGACTTAATATATGACGATGTGGAAAGACAAGCTTTAGTGTTGCAGAGATCAATGAATACAATTAGCAACATTGTTTTAACCTTAGTTTTGTATCTACCTGAACTCTTAAATTATTTATGACTGTCCTGCATACCAACTTTTCATTTTTTCTATTCATGTGGTGTCTTTACCAAACGGTAGAACTGCACACTTTAGAGGAACTAACGACCCGTTCGTCCGAACAGTTGATTAGTTTTCCTAGACTGCGGTAGATAACGGTGTTCATTTCAGTGATCTTTTGTGGTGGAAATGTGTATAATATTTGTGTATCGCCTTCGTACTGAAATGTTGCGAGCAATTTGACAGGTGTAAATGGAGAAGTGGCACAGCTATGATCCAGCTCTAAACCAAGATTAATAAATGTGGAGTAACTCAGGGTTTTCTGAATATTCTTTCGGTTGATTGTTAAGAATTTTCTCCAGTACCTTCCATATTGTTAGCAAGAGACTTATTGGACGCAACTCATCAAAGCTAGATGCATTGTCTTTTCTTGACAATGCCAGAACTCATGAAATCTACCACATGTTCAGGAAAATAGTTTTTTATACGCATCTATCGATTATGAAACAAATATAGAATTACTATGAGGAAGCATAAAATGTAACATATTTACGTTAAGCTCGTCGTAACCGGGTGCTGTTGATTTAGCTTACACATTTTTTGTAACAGAATCAGATTTAATCACTTTTTGAAAATTGCTACTTGATCTGTGTGGGCTACGAAGTACCTATGGATATTCTCTGGTTTTTTAATATGTGAGTTAATATTTTTCAGGTTTCTCATGTATGCTTAGAATATTTAGTTTCTATATTTCTTCATTTGAACTACATATTTCGGAAATGCATTCTTTTCGTTTCTGATATCAGTTGTAGTCTGATTGTCAGGATAGCTTAAATAATTCCACGTTGAGTTTTTCTTAGTTCTTTTGAAGTCACGGAAGTCTTCATCTCTTAACTAAAATTAAAACTTACAGATGGTAGGGGCTTCATAGGTAGGCATTTACCTGAAACAATAGCAGGATATTAATTAAAAGGGTTCCAATTATTATATTATAGACTACTTTTTATTTTATTATTAAATATCAAATAATTTATACCACGATATGTTTTTATTGTTTACTTTGTGGATAGATATTTTACAGGTTAAGTGGTAGAATAGCTTATGCTAAACTTCGCCCAACAAAGAAGTTTTATCATTATTATTTTGACATGGCATTCACATTATCAAAAACATATCTATAATGATTGTTAAGAGATGTCCATATAACCCCCTTACTGAGTGAAGAACTTCTCAAATACCACATCGTTTCTTATTGAACTGCATGCACTGGATATCTAGTTTCACGTACCTTAGATTTTCTGGTAAGGTATAACAGTGAGTACCTACTCATATGACGTATGTTTGTGGTTCTTAAGATATCAACATTGGGACTGTTTAAAAGTAAATGCTTCCACACTTGCTTTATATGTTACATGACTGTACATCGTGAAAACCCAAGTCACTCATTTTCGTCGGTATGTCTGTCAGAATATAGGAATAGCGCAATGAGAACGTCTTTTCAAGCAACTTGGAATAGTCCAAGAAATAATCCCTAAAGATGTCTGCTCCGTATTCATAAAAAAATCTCAACGTATAATATTTATCAACTGAATGTTTTCTGCTACATGATTGGTTTAATGTAGTCCCGTTGATGAACAGAATACTGACCTATTGCTTCGATAAAATCGACCATCTAAGAGGTGCTCTACGGATGGCTGTATCTGTGTGCAACAAAGTATAGCCACTAAAAAGGTAAGATAACTGTAACAGAAACCGACTCACATTTTATTCCTTTAGCATTCACATTAGAAAGTGACGTCATGACTGTACGTGTTTGGGTAACGGAACCACCAGCTTGTTGGGTCGGTCCGTTCATTAATAGCATTTATAGTTCTGGCATTTTAGATTCAATAGTAAATATTTATGACACAAGTTTTTTATACTTTTTTTGTTGGAATGAAACTGGAAGTATAAAATAATAATGCTGGTTTTACTGTAAGCGAAGTTGAGCAATCAATATTTTTCTGCCTAAGGTTCTAGGATACTCCTATCTAGAGTTCCGTAAACATGCACACGTTTTTCTTTACACCGAAGCTGCCGCGCAGGCAGAAGCCTGCTATGAGGATAATAAAGAAACTTTGTTAATCCAATTTTTCAACTCATACTTATGATAAACATAGCATCTTTCATGGAAAAATAAATTAGAATGTCAGATAAATTATTTGTTTTTTAAAATATACTAAGTGACATATAACATGCAACACCCAGAATTATTTATTGAATTTTGGTAAGAACTTGTAAGCATATTTGCTATCATGGAAGTATATGCTGATAAAATGTTGAAGGCATTCCGAACCGTACTTTTTTTGTAAAAGTTTTTTGTCATATTGTAACGGTTTCACCGTCCGATCGTATTTATTAAATCACTTCTCGATTATCATTTCATTAATCCCATCTCTAGCTTTTCTACTTGGAAAATTTTCCGCTTGGAGCGCTTGATGCGGAGTTCCTGATCTGCGATCTTCCTCGCGCTTCCTTTTCACTTGAGCCGCCGATCGAACAACAGCTAAAAATTTTCTTCTCTGTAGCACAAGGTCATATAGCACCATGTGCTAGAATTTTGTAGAATGTGTGTCCGTATAGGACAAAATGGTGAGTTTTATAATACTATACAGTTTTATTGCTGGATCTGCCTGTAGTTTATAGATAATCGATATGTAAGTGGTTTATTTCTTGTACGATTTTAAAATATCAATCGAACGTCATTTTCGACTTCGATCATTCGCCATAACTTTAATCAAATCGAGGTGGAAATCGATCCACATCGATTTTACCTCTGTGTCCGTATATATATATTCATAGTTCAGTGAAATTATAAGTACGTTGATTATGAATATTCGATATTTGTGTTTTTATATCAGAAGCATGTGGAGAAATTTTTGATGACCACCATCTTGTTTTACGGTTTTTTTTGCTATTTCATGATTTTATTTTATGAAAGGCATTTCCAATTTTCGGTTTGATTTTATCAAACTATGTAATGTAATTCTAACCTAGAAAATCGTTGGTTCTCTTTTGAGGCAGACTGAGATTGGAAATGCCTTGGCCATTAGCGCACGTTGCTAATGCACACGGTTCTTTTCCAGATTGGGGCCACCCCCTTTCTCTTTCCCTTTCTCTCTCTCTTTCCCTTCCCCTTTCCCTTTCTCTTTCACTTTCCCTTTCTCTTTCACTTTCCCTTTCCCTTTGCCTTAGTCTTTGACTTTGCCTTGCTTGGCCAATATTTTCACCCATGCATGTGCCTTGGCAGCGCCATCGCCTTTAACTTCGCCTACAACTGGTTATGAAGCCACTATATGTGAGGTCACCCCTCACAACTGGGACCTCCACTTCAAGCACCTGGCCATCCTGGCTTCAGTCGAGTCAAAATGGACCAGCGAAAGATAAGTTGATAGCTTTATAGCAGCGCCAAAGATGTAAAACTTATTTTGTTCTTTAAAACTGTAAAATTGTAATGTAATGAAAATGCTTTCTTGTTAAATAAAATCTGTTAAATTTTTGTGTTCTGTTTGTTCTTCTATCCCCTAGCCATGCCATGGTCGACACACAGCTACACGCCTGTAGATGTCTTCATGCCACCGACTGAGCTACCGGAAGCTAATTGTAACCCCCTTTGTGTGATTGTGCAGAAAAGTTGGAATCTTCATTGCATTCCATCTTTTCTGGACTTTTTGCGGAAAGGAAGCGTTACAATATCAAGATCCGAACAATATGAACATGTTTACTTAATATTCAGTGATTTTTCTGTGTTGATTCCATTTGTTTCATTTATGTTTCATTGCACTATCATGCCTAGAATTCGCAGACGTGCTAATTTCACTAAACTTTCCGAGTTTGAGGGGGTCGGATAATCGGGTCACGCGAAGCCGGATCTTCTTTTAGAGAAAACGCTAATCGGGTGAGTCGATACGAAGCTACTGTAATGAGATGTTATCGAGCTTGGTTCCAAGCAGGCCGAAATCGACGAGTTAGAGGTACTGGACGTCAAAGACAGACTACAGGATCGTTATTTGAGGCAACTAGCACTTAGAGATCGATTTTCCACAAAGGCAGTTGCGAACCAATGGTTTGATGCTGTCGGAAGGGCAATAACAATGAGGACAGTTTTTCGCCGAATAAGGTCTTTTGAACTGTTTTCATACCATCCCACCTCTGAGCCTAAGGCATCATCGGCAACGATTGGTGTGGAGGAGGCAGTTACTTGAATGGAATATGGAATGGAACTCAGTCGTGTTCAGGGATGAGTCCAGATTCTGTTTGGGCACACATGATGGCCGTAATGGGGAGACGTGGTGAAAGACCAATACTCCATCAAACGGCATACTCATCGCACTGTGGGTATTATGGTATGGGATGCAGGTCAGGATTAGTGTTCGTTCGAGGTAGCATGACTGCCCAGCACTATATCCACGAAGTTCCGGAGCGTCCGGAGTCATTCTGTTTCAGTGGCCTCCTCGATATCCAGACCTTGCCCCCATCCAACATGTATGGGACATGATGGGAAGAAGGTTACAAAATTCACCGTACCCTCAACAAACATTGGAGGTTCTACGAAACCAAATTCAGATGGCCTGGGATACAATAAACCCAAAAAGAATCAATCACCTAATCCAGTTAATGCCGCGACGACTTAACGAATGTGTAGGGAACAGAGGAAGGAGCTTCAACACATTAACATTGAGGTAGGATATTTCAGGTATTTTGCGAAATTTCGAGTAAGAATTGTAATCACTTGCTATTGATCAGTAGACCTAAAACTTGTGAAAGTATGCTCAAAATTACAGCACGCCTAGTCGGTGTTGCATTTTCTATGTCATTTTGTATATAAACATGATTAGGAGGATTTTTTGAATTTCAAAAAAAATGCAAGAAGGGTAAAAACCATTCCTCGGCTATACCAGCCAAATTTTGAAGAAAAAAGTTACAATACTCTAGTTTTTGGGTATAGATAAAAGAAATGGAACTAAAAATTAGCGCAAATATGAAATTTATGAAGTATCCTACTATATAATAGGTTTTAATAATTCACGTCAATTGACTATAATAATAATAATAATCATAAGAAGAAAAAAATGTATCATGAATCTAATATGACGTATGAAAGGTGGATCATAGAACTAAAAGATATATCAATAGAGCAGTAACTCTTCCATACTTTGTACGATGTTGTCAGATTTCATTACTTAATAGGTTTTCGTGTTGACAATTATTTTAATAAGTGAAAAACAAACAAGTTTTTGTAGTTAATACAAATTTGTTTTTGTAGTTTTTGTATGTATGACGTCGAATCAGCAGCGCTAAATAACAAAGGGGAAGAGGAGAGATTCTAGTGTAAAAAGAGAACGGTTATGCGTGTAAATAGAGAACGGTTATGCGTGTAAATGCTTATTTTCGTTGAACTTCTTAAATTTCTTCAATATTCAATGGCACGGTAGCGGTATGTATAGGATGAAACGGGACATTCTGCAAATGTCATGTTATTGTCACGGTGTTTATACCTGTTTAACAGTTAAACACGTTTCACTTTTTACATATCTTTACTACGTTCAAATGTTCATTTTGCTATAAAATGTGCAAATTTGATACACTGTCATGAGAATCATCTTTATAAATTGTCGTTTTACGGTACTTGTAATGCAGAATTTAAGAAGAGATGTATATCGGGGCTGTTGATTGGTTATCCAAATTAACAAAAAAATATAGGCAATATCAAAACTACTCAGCAAAAGCAAAACTCATTTGCACGCTTTTTGACATCATTATAATGTGTCTACTGCGAAAAGCTTTAATTTTGGATACAGACAATTTTTATCAACGAAAATTTTATTTTTATTTTTTGAATATATTTTTTTGTGCCGAGTCTGTTAAATCCTCGAATTGAAAAATTAGTGATCGATGACAAAC